AATAAAACCAGTTGTCTGTAGCACATTGCAAACAGAACCCTAGCAAAATGTTAAACCACGGCAAAGACCGTCTGCATAGTCTTGTGTCTGGAGAGGATCAAGTGACTTCTGTTACTTGTGAACCAGCTGACCATGTCCACACTTTGTTCTGTGCCTACTTCCTCCTTTGAAAGTGTTTTCCAGAGCTTTGACTGGGTCAAACAGCAATGAAGGTCCCCCCTGCCCCCAGCTTCCCTGCAGCTCTGTTGGCCAAGCAGCTCAAGTTCTTGGATGTCAGCATTCCAGGTCCGTAGCTTGCCTTGAGCTGGCAGAGTGCATTTGCGTGGCTGAGGGAAGGAACTTTGGTATCATGGGAGTTCAGTGGCCAGACTTGCTGTAAGATGAAGGCAGAAGGCAATATTCCCAGCTTCTATAAATGAGCAGGTTCTCTACTTGAGTGAAGCTTATCCTGTCTGCAGAGGATCTCGCCTGGAGCAGTTGCAGTTTCTGACACTGGTTTGAGATACTGCAAGATACACTGGCCTCCCAAGTAGCAGCTGTATGTTTGGTGAAGCAAGTGCCATGAAGCTTTGTTGTAACTATTTAGCAGTTTCCTGTATGTGGGGTTTTTTTGTGTGTGCTTTTGTTAACTGAAAGCCTATCTTTCTCTTCTGTTTGCTTTGGAGCATTGACCAGTGCTCTTCAGACTGAAGACAGCATTCGGTCCTAGTATCCACAAGGGATCAGACTGCCACCAGTCCTTAAAAAAGAGCGCTGCTTGTATATGCTGAAATGAATGGCCATATATGAAATATCTAGGCACTCTGTTAGCATGATAGAAAAGAAAAATTAAATAAATATTACTGCTTTTTTGTGACTGAGTTAGTGGTTGCTTAGTAATTCTATCTGTAGTGCCACGCTCTCAGAACTTGGTTCTTTGCTATGTTCCTCGCAAGACATCAGGAGAGAAGCACATGAAATTGTAAACAGTGTACTCATCTGCCTTTAATTCTGCGATTTGGCTACGGTAGTGTGGGTATGCTGGGGTATGCAGTAAGAAGTTTAATGTCGCAGATGGACTGAACTTGCAAATTCAGGTTTTTTGCTGCTTGTTATTCTTAAAGTGACCCACGTCAGCTATGTGAATTCAGGCAATAGATGTATTCTGGACACAAAACAGTATTCTCTGTTCTGTGGAACTACTTAACATGCAATTGTTATCACTCTTGCTCCAGAGGTTACCCGTGCAGGGAGTAAACTTCCTGAGATAATACTAAATCACTGGTCCTTTGTTTCTGTTTTTAATTGAGCATGTGATCACAGCGGGTACTGATGCTCCAGCCCAGCTTCCTCACTGATGGCTGCTGGCATGGGACCCTTCAAGCTGAAGAGTCCGGGGTATAGCCTGCATCCTGCGCCAGGAAGAGCAGAGCTCCAAACAGCAGATCCTGCTGTGCTATTTTCAAAAAAGAAACAGCTGAGTTTTTTTTTTTTTCTCTTTGAAGAGATCAAAATATGCTGGAACATGGCAGGAAATTGTTTGCACACAGAAAATAGTGTCCTAGCAGTGGCCTTCACATTTAGTTTTGGCCTGGTGAAATTTCTTTAGGGAAAAGCTGGAGAACTTGCCAAAGATTTCTAAGCTCATGTGTTAGAGGGTGTAGGCTTGGTCAGAACAAAGATCTCTTTCTTTTGGATCCATATAGCTTGCTGTACTGATGCTCTGTTCTTTTGGCAGATGAGAAGTGAAATACTCGGTCCTTACGGAGTATAGGATATTAGTAAGGGTCGTGATTTCCCCAGTGGAAGATAGCTTCAATTCTTAGGGAAGAACAAAGTTTCAGAAAAGATTAAGTTGTGTATGTGTCAAGCAAAAGAAGGAAGCACCCCATTTGTACAGACACTCATTGCTTTTCTTTATGAACCCTGTTAAGGAAACTGAGTTACGTAGTTTTTCTTCTAACAGTTTAGAAGCACCCATCACCTCAGTGCTGGCTAGGTACAACACTGTGGTTTCCAAACCACTTTAAACTTGATGTGGAGAAGGTCAGAACAAACAATAGCTAAACTCAAAATTGTGATTATCGGAGTGAGAATATATTTCCTCTTGGTATTCTTAAAGGATGCTTAAGAGCCTCCACAATTTGGAGTCCCTTTAGTTCTTTCAACTTTCAGAGTTCCTGAATTGGATGTTTTGAAGTATAGGGATGACCTGACACCAAAGGATAAAATTAAACATTGATCCCCTCTTCAGAGTAGTGTTTTTATAGTGAACAAACACTAAATTCTAGTGCAATCTAAACCTTAGACACTGCAGGCTCAACACCAGGAGCTGGCAGTCCCTGCGTCTATGCTGTTTGTGAGACCTGTCCAATACAGATTCCTAAATTTCTTTAACTTTCCTCTCTTTTAAAGACTGCTCTCTTGGTCATACACTGATCAGGAACACTCCTTCGGGGTTGTCTAAAGAACACATTTACATTCTGCACAGGTCCATTCTCAATCTGTGCTTCCATATCACAGCTAAATTCTTAATCTCGTGAGTTACCGAGGCACTTTTCAGTCTCTGACGCCATTCCGCTTTGCTTTTGGCAATATTGTCATTTTGTTGCTTCTATCTTCTTCAACAAAGCATGTGAAGACTGCTCTGTATGTCTTTAGGGCAAAACTAGAGTGGCATGAGTATGTAAAAGCTTTAACAGCCTGAACAAAAAGGGAAGGTATGAAAGTAGACTTACAAACGGATAATTTTCAAGTTACTAATTTTGTCACAGTAACGTCATCTTGCTTTAATAGTTTTTGATGTTTTTTTTTAAAAAAAACCACAAAGACAAATACAGCACTGCAGCATTTCTGGACTGCTTTGAAGCCTTTGATGCAGGGCCCCATTGAAACAACTAAGCTGGAAGGGCTGTGATTTGGTACTGGAATACAGGCTGAAGGAGAGTTGTACAAAAAGGAAGGGCTGGTGGGAGGAAGGCAGACTGCTGCAGGCCTGAGATGTGGCCACGTGGTTGATCTTCACGTGTTTGAAAGGCAAAAGTAACATTCAAGCTGTCAGACCTAAGGTGGCTTTGTCTTTAGGGCAAAACTAGAGTGGCATGAGTATTTAAAAGCTTTAACAGCCTGAACAAAAAGGGAAGGTATGAAAGTAAAGTAGACTTACAAACGGATAATTTTCAAGTTAGTTACTAATTTTGTCACAGTAACGTCATCTTGCTTTAATAGTTTTTGATGGTTTTTTTTTAAAAAAAACCACAAAGACAAATACAGCACTGCAGCATTTCTGGACTGCTTTGAAGCCTTTGATGCAGGGCCCCATTGAAACAACTAAGCTGGAAGGGCTGTGATTTGGTACTGGAATACAGGCTGAAGGAGAGTTGTACAAAAAGGAAGGGCTGGTGGGAGGAAGGCAGACTGCTGCAGGCCTGAGATGTGGCCACGTGGTTGATCTTCACGTGTTTGAAAGGCAAAAGTAACATTCACGCTGTCAGACCTAAGGTGGCTTTGTGCTGCAGCCACTGGATGACTTCCCAAGCCTGTGGTATTAAGTGAAATAAACTTTAATATGAAGCACAGACCCACAAATTTTTAAGGATTAAAAATGAGTATAGGGGTTGTGTGAAAGAGCTGTAATCATCAGTTGAATGCTGGTGATGGGCTAAAACCATGGTACTGTAGATGCAGTTCCGTCATGTGTCACCAGAGGGGTTCCTAAGCAAGAGAAAATTATGAACTGCTTTGCTCAGCCATCACTGGTAAGAAATGGATATGTAGTCCTGTTCAGAGGATGACCTATGAACAGCTCAATCATCTTTACAACATTAATAATAAACCCAGTCAAGGAACAGCTGAAAGACTGGCTGGCTGTAGCATGTGTACCTACAGAAGGGGAGGAGCTATCTGTGCTAAAAATCAATTGCGTAAAATTAATATAAACAGATCATAAACTTATGATTGAATTTAGAATAACCGATCACCAGAGAAGTGAGTGGGAAGAGACTTCCATGAGGAAGGGATTATATTTAGGAAACATACCTCTACCAAGAGGGCAGTCAAACACTGGAACAGACTTCCTAAAGAGGCGGTCAATGCCCCGAGCATTTGGATGATGCCCTTAACACCGTCCTCTAACTTTTGGTCAGCCCTGAATTGATCAGGCAGTGGAACTAGTTAACTGTTGAAGGCCCCTTCCAGTTACTGTATTCTATGTTCTATTCCCCAGCTGCCTGAGACTAGAAGTGCTAGACTTCTAGGAGACAAAAGACCTTTTTCTGTTTTTTGCTCCTACTTTACTTTACTTTAACTTTATACCTTATACTGGTCTAAGATTTGGTAGACTCCTGTGGCAAACCCTTTCAAATACTCTTCCCTTACAGAAACTAAGTGCCAATCTTTAGCTGACATAATCAGGATTTTCAAATGCTAACTTACTATTTATTTCAGTTATTTAATACAGTCAACCCATCTACATATGTAGAGAATAGCTGAATTCAGGTCCATGGCTTGTTCCAATGCTGTAGAACAACCTCTGAGACTAAGGCCTAAGGTACTTCAGGGTGGCATGATAACATTGAAAAGCTGTCCCGTTCCTCCCACTTGATATGTGTGTAACTTAAAGCTGGGTTTTCACTTACTGTTGGAGGGCAAATGTGAAGGTAAAGGTAAGATTACCAATTGCACCTCACTTTGTTTAGTATCCAAACACCTGGGAGGAGGTCAGGTTTTATATTTGCACCGACACCTCTGGAATCCTAAGCATGTCGTTTTGCTTTATTGTAGTAATGAGATTACAAAATGCATTACAAATAATTGAGCTGGGCAAAAATGCACTAGGTCGGGTATTCCAGCATTTAAAAGTATATATAGTGAACACTTCTTATTCAATAGTTATCACTGTGGAAAGGGTTGAGGGAAATGTGAAACTGTCCAATAAAATAAAAATCCAACTGACATTGATGTAGTAACTCCAAAGATTTTATTTATTCATCTGTACAACAGAGGTGAGACAGTCCCAGTAACTGAGTTGCACTGAATTTTCTTAATTTCTACAAAGTAAGGAATTGCAGAAGAATTGTTTCCAAACTCTTCAAGTCAAAACCATAAGTTTTCTACCAAAACAATGCAATTAAGAAAAATCACAAAAGTTACTTCAAATCACTCTTCCCCCTGTACCTCAATCTCAGTAAAAACCAAAACAGCCCTGCTACCCCCTTTTCAGGTGCGTGCCTGGTGCTATTAAGACTACCCATTAACCATGGTTTGCTGGAGCCAGCTGTGCCTTGGACACAATGGTTTTACTACTCCATGTGAAAAAGGAAAAAACCATCCATACAGCTGCTTCAACATTGCATGCCAGAATAAACTAGTCCTTAACAAAAAAATTAACCTGTGCTGGAGCTGTAGTTTTACCTCCCCTGATGCGTTGCACCCCAGCCCCCTGACAGACCTGCAAGCCGTTCCTTCCTCAGCTGTCACCACCTCCTGCCTGCGCCCCGCACGATGGACTATGCCAGCAGTAACCAGGGTGGTCAAGTCCCACCACATCAACCCTCTTCACCAGGGAGAGGTCTCCAAGCAGCGCGCGAGCAGGACTGAACGATTATTCAGTGACATAGGGAGATGCAGGCCTGCGTTTCTTGATCTTTGCTCTAGTTTTCCTTGCACCAGTGTAAACCAGGAGCCCATCTACTGACATCAGCAGGTTTACCTCAGTGTGAATGCAGGAGTGGTACGGAAGCAGCATCAGCCACCTTGCACGGGACCCCCAGTGTATTTGGGCCTTTAATCTAAAGGCCTTCTGAGAGATAGATGCCCCATTGCCTTCAGTGGGCTTTCAACCAGACCTTTGTACACGTGTGCAGCAGTAACAAGTTCTGCAAACAGTTGTAAAAATGCAGATTATATTCTTCTAAAATGCTATCTTACAGATTTTCCACTTCTCTGTGTAACTTTCAATGCTTATGAAATGCTACTAAAACATTGCATGAAGCTTCAAAATAATAAAACCCAAGAGTGAAGCAATTGCTACATTCAACTTAAAAGCCAATTTTTAGAAGCAATTTTCATGTTTTATATTAATGATGGTGCAGTTACTTTTTTCCATTTTTATTTTCTCTTCAATTGCTCAAGCTTCATTAGGACGCGCTAGAAAAAAGAAGCTATCAATCAATCACATAGCCTGTTTTCTTAACAGGACCCATTTTGAGAAAAGGGTTGCAGATGGATATTCCCAGTCTGTCCATGCTTCCTGCAGCTCATCTCATTGTATGGCCTGTTAGGGAAAGTCTCTGCAGGTCATTGGTGAGCTAATGACTGAAGTTTAAAGTACTAATGATCACCTATACAGTTAGCAAACCATGTCGCTTTATAGCCTAAAAATAATTAACTGAATTGTTCAAAATCCAAAATTTCTAATCTGAAGTTCACATCAAACTTCAAAATAATTTAATAAAAAAATATTAGGGAAAAAAACATTTTACTTCAAAAACCTATGCTTGTTCTCAGAGGTATCCTATTTAACCTACTACGTCCATTATGGAACGCACTGGATTTACGCAATATGTGAGAAATAATTGAACTTACTTAGAATTGCAATGATGTGATCCACTGTGCTAGGAAGTGAGCTATTTCAGAGACTTGTGTGTGTACCTTAAAATGTCTCAATATGTGTTTCTTTAAATTTGGTTACAAATACTGGAAAAAGAAAATACTGTCTCTACAAAGTGCCGAGTTCTTCTTATGAAAGCCAATGAAAAAAAATCAGGATGTTTAAAGAGCTTCTCAACTTTTTTCAGGATCACACCCAAGACAGGTTTAGAGACTGTGATCATCTTTATGAAAGGAACTCTTTCAGAAGTAAGTTACAACAGCTGTGATAGGATGGGTTTCCAGCACTGCCTTCCCTGAAGTCTCTTTAAATGATGGCATCATGTTCATCACTGTAATAGAAACACAGTAATTAATGCTCTGCAGGACAAGCAACAGTCAACATGAGAAACAGCTACCCAGCTGCTGCTAAGAAGGTTATTTTGTGAACAGAGGCCACCTTGCTGGGAAGGGCTAAGGACACATGGATCTGAGAGTTATGGTCCTCTCTGAGCCAAGCCTGAAGTTAACAGAACAATTTCATTTTTGTCAACACTCCTCTAGCTTCTCTATTCTTACTACCATTTTTGGCTTTCACATGTCATTCAAGTAAATATTTTTAGATCAGCTATTGCTCAGGCATTTTTATCCTATCTATCTTACCTATATCCAGTAGTAACAGCTAATCAAAGCTCAGTGACAGGTTTCCTTTGTTTTAAAGATCTGAATTCTACAATATCCATTCAAACACTACTGTGGGTAAACACGTGCAGCAGGGACTGGTTGAGTTCTATGAGCAACAAGCAGGAGTCAAGATGGAGAGAAAACACAAGGCCTAAACACTAATATCCCAAGTCTAATGCCATCACTTAAAACAAGCTTCTCAACTGAGATGGATGATACTGAATAGGAAAAAGAAAAGCAACCTAGTTTTAAGAATTCCCAGTTCTTAAACTAAACATGGGACAAGGAGGCAAGTCTGGAAGCCTGGAAGAAAACTGAGGAGAGCTGGCTATAAATGGCAAATAGCATGGTACGACTGTGATATAACTATTCACTACAAAAGGGGTGAGATGTAAGATGAAATCAAAATCATAGATGTCTGACTGGCACTGCGCTCTCAGAAATGAATGCTGCAAAGGAGAGGAAAAGAGTACCTCCACAAAGAAGAACCATATCCAAGGCAAGACTGGGCCTACTACCTCCTGTCCCCCGATCTTGTATCATAAAGGAGAGAGACCAGTTGCCTGGAAGAAGTTGGTGGCAGAGAATCTGTTTAAATCTGTGTTTTTCATCTTGTATTATTATTGACTGGCTGAAGCCCACAGACAACTTCTAAAGGGTCTTGAGAAGGTAGCTAAGAAAAGCAAGCTTACTCTCAACAGGCTTGTATTCGCTGCACAGCACCCACCCTCCATACGGGAAATACCAGCAGCTTGCAGCTCAAAGAAGGTTGAAAGTCCCTGGTGCACACAGAATAAACAAGTGACTTCAGGTGGGATCCAGCCTATACCTTTCGATATCCACAGCACAGATTTCTTTATCGAAGACTCTTAGCTGCCCTCACAGTAAGTGAATACAAACACACATGGATAGGCTCATCCATCTGACAGATTTACCTGACTTTGGGGTAGTATGAATGACATGAAATGACTGGTTCAGATGCAGATGTCTGTATTCAGTTCAATGACTTCTCACTTCATGCACTCGTGAAAAGTATGTAAAGCAGGTTCAGTGCATACAGTTTTAGGGACAGTTTTCTGGAGTTGAGAACAAGGTAACACAGAAAACTAAATATTAGAAATCAACCAGTTGGCCTGCCTATATTGCAAGGTGGGGCAAAAGTTTGAGTTTATGTATTGACAACAATCAAATACTGTGCTTTTTTGAATGTGACTAATGGCCATATTACCTTTGAATGCTTTCTGTGACAATAAATAAATTAATCCATTCAATAGTGATGGCTTAAGAGTGTGGAATATTAAATGTCTGGCTTTAAAACTGGCTGCTCAAACTAGACTTGATGGTACGTAAAAGGTGATACAAAAGAGAGGTGGTAACAGAGTTCCAACACCATGTCGTACAAGTAACGGAAACAGAGCTACTGAAAAAAAAAAAAAAAAAGAATGGCAAGGGGGAAGAAAACGCCAAAGAGTGAATAGACAAATAGAGTCTAGGAGAAAGTGTCAACAAACATTTCAAGGAAACGCTTTCAAGGAAATGTTAGCTACTCATGGGAATACCTAAAGGACAAGAAACCTTTACAAAAAAAGATGATTTTTCTATAATAGATCAGAGAAAAAAAACTTAAAAAGAGAGGCATAATAATAATAATGAGGAGTAATTGAGGTGGTGAAAGACAAAAGTATCACAGTTGAATCTCTTAATGATAATATAATGTACATTAAACAAATGTATGTATTACAGTTCATGCTCCTTGTTTTGTTTGTCCTTGTTCCCCTCAAGAAAGTAATAAATTGACAAGGGACAATCCCTTGGGAACTTACATGGTTCTGTACTGAATGCCTCTTCTAGAGTGATAGGTTTTGCATCCGATGTAGACAATAACTAGGACTCCAAGTGTCAGCATAATGCCACCTACAAAACTGCCCACATCAAATCTGGAAGTTTTGGCAACAACAGCCTCAGATTTTGATGTGGCTGAAAAGAAGAAAACAAAAGGCACTTTTCACAGAGCTTGCAAAACTGTGTTTTGATGGACTCCTCTATGTCCTGCCCCCCCCCCCCCCCCCCCACCCTTAAAGACCCAGCTAGACAAATTTAACATAGAACAACTGACAAGATACTGTCCATGCACACTGAAACCCAGAGCTCTGTTTTTACGTGCCAGATTCTGGTAAGACAGGAGGAGCTGACCCAACTGCTTGCTGTCTCTGAAAGACCGATTTTCCCTCCTCCTCTCCACCTCTCTCTTTCCCCTGCCTTTTTTCCCCCCTGCCTTCTCCTCCTTCCTCACACGTGGCTCCTCCCCTTTTTAAGGCAGTTCTAGCATTTTTCATACCCTCCGTGAGCCAATTTAACTCATTAAGCTGGCTTGAAATTAACCCAGGCAGAAAAGAAGTTGCTTTTACTCAGATGAGCATAAAGAGTCAGCCTGCAGAGGGGTCCAACAACCACCACATCAGTCAGTACAGTTACGTGGCGAGAGTAAAATACTTCAGGTGGCAACGGGCTGTTGGATTGCTTTACCCTCTCTCATGGAATTGTACCCTCACCCTCCAAGTGAGATCAGCTCTGCAGACCAACACAAATATTGACACAGATAACATGACCTCAGATAGGCCACAGCAGTTTCTGTGTGAAAACTGGTTTTATCTACTACAAACTCCCACCAAAAGATCCAGTCTGTGCCCATTTCTATTTGTACTTGCCACAGGGAGCGTTGTATGGCCAACTAAAAGTTTTGCTGATGACAGCTTCACCTACCCAGTAATGCTTCACTGATATGTGAGCAACCCCCATCTGTTCAGAAGTGCAAGCATGAAGTGGTGCAAACAAGCAGCTAACGGCAAGGAAATACTGAATTCTACACTTACTGGTTTTGTATTAAAGGGTGCTGTCAAACTGTTTTTAACAACTTTTACATGAAGCTTGACTCATCCGTAGTCATACTCTATCCTCCATTAGGGATAAAATTAATTAGATTGCTACAAATGTAGCTAACAGAACTCAGTCTTTCTACCAAGCCAGTAGACATATTTTGAGCCACAGGTCAGCTGTGGAAAACGAAGTGTTAAGAGATGAGTTCAAGTAAGCTACAGAAGGGAGAGCTGAACAAATACACAAGTTGTATTCAAAAGCCAGGCTTTCTCCTAACATTGCTAATCTCCTTGCTGGTGGCTGCTGGTTCAGACCACTCGCTCCCCCCCCCC